ATGTGGCCGATGAAGCAGCCAAAAAAATACAATGTCGATATTTTACGGATAGTTGAACTCCTTCAAAACTATTTTTATATTGATGAATGTATTTTCATAGCTTGCCGGTCAAACATTGCATACTCAATCCGATTGAATTAGCATGGGCTGGTTTGAAAAACTACGTTCGTGACAAAAATGTTAACTTTAGTCTTAGTGATGTTGGACATTTGGCCTACCAATGGATGACATCTTTAAGTAGAGCAACTGCTATGGGATATATTAATGAAACACGCCAGATCGAAGACATGTTCAAGAAGTCTGATCGATTCATCGAAGAAGTCAAGAAACAATTGGTAGACGAAGAGGAAGAAGTTGATTCAGTAGCAAAAGAGGTGGACGATTAATAAGGGGTGTGGATGTGGGTGGGTGTGTGTGCAGGTGATTGAAGAAAAATGCACATCCACACCCACATCGACATCTACACTCACACCCACCCTTATATCAAGATTTATGCCACCCATCACTGATATGAATGATCAAACAGACAAAGAGGCACATGAATTATGGAAGAAACTGATTAAAGCTGAACTTGATGATATTCAACTGGCCTGTCAAGACACGGATCTAAAATTTTCACCAAAGGATATATGGAATATAATCTGAGGGATGAATTCGAAGAATTCTTCCGGCTTTGATCATATATCAAATAAAATGATTAAACGATAACTGGAAATTTATGCTCATATACTAGCACCCCAGTATAATGCATTGTTTGCATCGGCATATTGGAGTAAAAACTGGAAACAAGCACGAACAATATGCTTTAGCAAAACGGACTATCCGGCGCCGACCACTCAACAATTACGTCCTATTTGACTTTTGGCTGTCCTCGGGAACGTATATGGACGACTCTTCCTGCTAAGATTCCAGAAATGGCTGACAAGTCATAATATTCTACCATGACAACAGTCAGGTGATCGAGCAAATCAAAGCACAATTTCACGAATAAACCATCTTCTTGAACAACTCATAAGCTCCCTTCGTTACAATACCTTCACACCAGTTCTTGTTGTAGACTTCAAACAAGCATTTGACATGCTATGGTAACAAAGCCTACTTCTAAAACTAAATCGATTAAATTGTCCAAGCCCATATCTCTTATGGACAACAAGTTACTTCAAAGACAGAACAATGACTATTGATCTCAACAGTCTTCTATCAGACAACATAACTATAGCAAGAGGAGCTCCTCAAGGAAGCGTTTTTGGGGCTATAGCATATATTGTTGCTCATTACGACTTACAACAAATATTTGAGAGATCTGAAAATAACCATCTCTATGTTGATGATCTGGGTAGCACATACGTCCCAAATATCTATTGTAACTTCCAAAAACAAAAAATCGATATTGAACAACGAATGAATAAAGACTTGGAAAAACGTTATAACTACGCGAAGCGATGGCATCAACCGATTAATTGCAAAAAGATTCAGTTTGTAGTATTCACTCATATTGTCAAACATCCTAAATTAAATATTAGTTATGATGGGACTTCTTTGGAGCAAACTAAAGTCTTTAAATATTTAGGGTATCAACTGGACTCTAGACTTTCCTTCAAATACATGGTTGATGATCAATTGAAGAAATATCGTCAAACGTACGCAATAATGAAACATATCCATCAACAATTTCCTACATTCTACAAACCTAAATTACTATTCTTTAATACTTATATCTGGCCATATTTATATTCTATGGCAACGATTTATTTTCTCCTCTCAAATTCATTGATGGAGAGAATCAATAGTTTTTATAAGCGTTGCCTACCAATAATATATCAGCTTTTCGAATGTCCGACTAGAAATCTTCACAACAGATTTCTCCTCCCTACATTGGAAGAGAAATTTCAGAAGAGCCTAGTCAAGCGACTCAACAATATTGAACGATTTGAAAAAGAACTAATTGCCTATTATCGAATGAATAAAACCATTATCAACAATAGATGTTACCACTATATGGAAAAATCCTGTATTCAATCACTACCGAGAGGACGACCTAGCACCCGCCTGACCGAATTCTACCAACACTCCCCCACTTTCTTTGACAAACTACCGCAATTCGCTAGTCAAGAACCATCTAATTAACCAACCCAAGCTGAGCCTCAACTACTCCTTTGCACTCTCTCTGATGTATTTTTCTGTGACTTCTAACTGCAACTCTTTTCTGGTCTTTTAAATTTACGTTTTTATGTTGTGTGCTAGAAAATTTACATGAAGCGTAAGTAGTCAGGACCAATCAGGTCAATCCACTCAAATAAAGGTCTTTATAAAAACAAAATACGTAAAATTTTAATCGACCAATCGTTCGTAGACTAAATATATTGGTCGATGTAAGATAAGAGTTGAATAAAAAAAGCTAAAAAGTATATTTTACCAAAGTTCGACTTTTATTTTCAAAGTACATTCAATCAACAACTATTCGTTTCCGGTTGAATGCTAAACTTTTGAATTCGATTATTTCCAAGTTCACTGACAAAAATATTTCCCTCACTGTCGAGTGCTAAACCATAAGCATACGAAAATTGATCTGGTCTATCACCAAAACCGTTTCCACCAATGATCGTCACTCCAGCATTGGCATTTGGTGCCCATTTTTGGACACGAGCATTAAATGTATCGATAATATACATATTATTGTATTTATCGACTCTGATAGTCCACGGTCCATTGAATTGACTAGCATTCAATCCTCGTCCAAAGCCGCCAGCAACTGTAATACCTTCCGTAGCCCCTTTTAACCATTTTTGTATTCGATCGTTTCCTGCATCAGCAATGTACACTGTTTCACATTCATCCACATAAACACCAGTTGGAGTTGATATACTTTTTGAATTAGACTCCTCTCCTTTCTGTTCAGCAACAATAATTCCATCATGGTTTCCATTTGGGAATTTTACAATACGATTATAAAAGAAGTCTACTACGTACGGTGTACTTGTCCTTTCGTGGAAGCACATACCATAGAGAAAACTGATTTGATTTAATTCTTCACCTGATCCATTTTCACCAGCAATAGTAATATCACTGGTTGCACCTTGCGGCCACATTTGAATTCGTTGATGTTAGCTCTAATATGTATAGAACGAAAGAGACAAGCAGTGTCACTGATGTTAAGTGACAGAACGATGAAAAAGATGACCTTCATGGGAATCGAACCCATACATCCTGCTATCCTGGCAGTTGTCCTAAGCCAATTAGACTAGAAGGCGCATCTTAATCATCGCTTAGCGTCCAAGTGAATCATCATGGATGCTAACAGTTTATTACTGCTATCAGCAATGTAAATATTTTCATGTTTGTCAACATATACATCAGTAGGCGAATTTAACTGATTGGTCGCAGATCCGGCGTCATTGCCTCCAGCCACGATGATACCACTGCTAGTCAATGAGCTACCTAAGAATTTTTGAAGACGGTGATTGTTTCTGTCGGCAACATAAAGATTATTTCTATTTTGAGTATCAACAAAAATACCTAATGGCGCACTTAGATGTTGAGAATCCGAGCCCGATTTAGTGTCATTACCAGGGTTGCCAGATTGTCTGAAAAGTCAGGAAAGTGTCTGAAATTTGGATACCTTTCTGATTTCCTTCTGACAGTCTGATTTTTTCTGATTTGAGCACTCTCGTCTGATTTTTTCTGTTTTTGATAATTTTCCCTGCTTTTCTCCTGAATTCTGAACTTTTCTAAACAGCTTTTTTAGCGAAATTAAATCTTATCATAATTATTCGTGTGAACAATTTTATAAATATCTTTTAACTCAAACACATTTGTTAAAGCAAATTCGAAAAAATGGAAAATATGAACAATAATATCGAATCTATGTTACATAATCATCAGTTTTTTCTTTCATAGGATCTTATAACTTATATCGTATATATCTTCTGTTCACCCACACCCACATCGACACCCACACCCACATCCACACCCACATTCATACCCACACCCACACCCCAGGAGTTTCACAAAATTAAGTCATATTAAACGCAGAAAACAGACATTTCGGGTGTGCGTCCGAGTGTCTCCTTCTATCACCCACACCCAAATTCCTCCTTGAACTAGATCTTTTCGTCCGTTAGGAAGATCATTCGAGCAAAGAAAATTGTTTACAGTGATATTGCTCTTGTTGAACAGTTTATCAGCCTATGTACTCAACGAGCATCTTCCCTCGAACTCGATCCAGCTGATTTGTGCATAAGATGGAGAGATCTGTGCCACCATGTCTTCCTTCGTTAAACTTCTCCGTAGCATGTGAATGCACTCATTGTTCGAATAACTTCCTCATTTTCAATTCTATCCAACTTGACGCCACATCTGTACGGATCAACTTCTTCTGGGTGAGATGCCGAGCTCAGCACTTTTCAACGATATGGTATAGCTCAATCTGATAGAATCGAGTCGAGTTTTGACAAAGGCTTTCATGATGTAGTAGATAGGCTTTGTTGAATCATGGGAGCATAGTTCATCGTATAGCATCCGACTACAGATCGAGAGGTATCTGATTCGAACCTGAGTGCTCCCAAACCAATTAACTTTTCTTTTTCTTTCCTTTTTTCACTCGTTCAGTTGTATCATTAGTGGTCTGATTTCGAAATCCCAGAATAGCCAAAACTCATCCGAAATTATGGGATAATCTGATGGCCTTATCTCAGCGAATCATCTTAAAATCAGGTCACTGAACGAATCAAACAGCCAAACAATCGAATCTGGTCATAGCATTTACATAAAATTAATTTGATATTTAATTAGAGTATTTACTCGTATCAATACTTTCCTAGTATACGTGTCATGTGTTAATTTCTACTCGTAGCCCTAAATACGATATGAAATCGTGCTAATTCGAATAAGATTAAGCGCATACATCAACTTTTTCTGCAACTTTCAACAAGTATTGATAAATTTTAGGACAAATCGAATGGAAAGGATCTCCTCGATCATTTATGATCTAATATGTTCGGCTAATTTAGCGAAGCGCCAAAGAGAGTGTGTCGCATGGCGTATTCTTTATCGGACAGACATTCTCGGGGTGGAATGAACACATTTGGATCACTAATACCGCCCGAAACATCGTAGAATGACTGATGACTTGTGCCGTATTTGGGATGCGTAGACGTCTGGGAAACTGGAAGACAGGCTTCATAAGTCCACATTCCAATATAATTGACAGTGTCATTCGATGGCGTCGTGTAATTACCACCCCTATTCACAATGAATAGTCTATGCTGAATGAAGATGGAATCAATTGACTCACCAAATAGTGACAAGTAGACCAGTACTGGGCGAGGCAGAAGAGCCGATGTAGGCTTCGCCGTACGAGCGAGCATCGGGCCTAATAGCGAAGTCACGCCATGGCCGTGTAAGTGGAAGGCGTGAGCAGTTGCGTGCCGTCAAGTTGATCACAAACTCGAGCTGAGCTTGAAATAAGGCGATGGTCTCATAGTAATAGTCATCGCCAACAACGACTTCTTCGATGAATCGTTCACGTTGATACAGTGAATCATAGCTCAGCTTACCTTGTACGGTAATTTTCTCATCGTTAATATGATCGATGATGAGTGCTTCCCATTGAGATGAAGATGCACATGGTCGCGGTTGTTGAGCAACCACGACACCGATCAAGGACAGAAGAAAAATCGAGAACATTTGTGTATTCGAGAAAGAAAAATGAAAGACAAACCGTTGTCGACAATGAATCAGCTATTCTTCGTATCTATATGTATATGCAACTTATATGCCTATATAAGACATATTATCAAAGATGTCTTTAATAAGACAAAGAAAAAAGGTCTTGTGCAAATATTCTTCCTATCAGCAAGATGATACACGGAGGAAAGAGTGTGGGTGTCTGTAACGTTGTATGTGTTACAAATATACCGATCTACACCCACACCCGTACTGTGGAGAGACAGCGGAGAAATAATTATGGCCATTGTTTGTCGACTGATATTTCTTATTGTGGCTAAGCATCATCATGCAACTTCAATAGAAAGGAGTTCTATATAAGGGACGACAATGATGACGAAAAATATTTCACTATCTTGCAACAAACGAGGGTAAATATTGAATGATGAGAATGAGTTAAATACAAGCTGCAAAGCTCGACCAGATACGGTATCCTGTTGCACACACAATAATTGCGTTTTTACCTATGCAGGGATTGTCGTCAAAGTAATGTGCAGATCTTTACAAAAGAAACGTCGAACATGATTACACACTATTGTTGTCAACAAAAGTTACGCAGGCTCAGATATACCGGTGTATGAATTGAGCATCAGCAGGTGGGCTCAAATTAGCCTCAATAAAAGAAAACAATACACAACGGTTGCTTCAGCCTTTGTTGCGTAATTACTAAAAATGACCGGATCAATTTAGAAAAAACGACGGTTACATAATAATGATCGCAGTCAAACCTTTTCTTCAAAAGCGTCTACGATTTTGGACTCATCCCCTTTACAGCAAATAGCTATTCCACAGGCAACAGAATGTTGGTATGAAAGGAGAACCGTCACAATTCCTCACATTCGTATGCTCAAGGGAGAGATAAAGTCCTCATAAATTCCTTGCACAATAATTACAATTGATCGCAATTTGAATAGATATCTTTCATCGATGTTAATCATCAAAAACGCTAAATTACTTGTTGGAGATTGATGATTGCTCGTGATGACGTGTAATTAGGCTTCTTTCCCGAAAAACTTGTTTCTTTTTCTACCTCACACTTCTTTTAGAAAAGCAGTTGATGACAGCAGTGTTGATTCTCATTCAGATGAATATCCATTCCTAGTGCTATGCATTGCATCATAGCAGTTTTGACACTAGATGCACGATTCTACTCATCAAAGACAAGATTGCACCCTCTGTGTGAAGGATGTGGGTGTGGTCTTTATAAACTCTCCCACACCCACAGCCTTAATTTCTACGTAATTGTACATACCCGATCGCACTGTCGAAGTTTCACATAAATTCTTTCTATTACAAACTACAGACTGACAAGAATCCGTTCTATCTTAATGAAAAGTTACATTATTCAAGGTAGAATTGCAAGAATACGTTCTTATGTTTTAAACCAAATTATGGATACCTAGGAATTTTATACTTGTTGAATTTTAGAGAAAATGTTGAATAATAAAATTCATGATACCATCTATCCATGTTTGGCATCCTTCTTACAGTATAAACACAATGCTCAACACAGCTCATGTTTGCCTATTCGTGTTTTAACTAGGATGCGTGGGATGTGGATGTGGGTGTAGGTGTGTGGATTTGGTGGGTGTGGGTGGGTATGGGCGTGGATGCAAGGGGGAAAAAGCGGATCCTGGTGGATCCTGGGATCCATTAGGATCCGCCAGGATCCATAGGATCCACCAGGATCCATCAGGATCCATCAGGATCCAGTAGGATCCATTAGGATCCATGAGGATCCATCAGGATCCATTAGGATCCATCAGGATCCACCAGAATCCATTAGAACTCATTATCATTTATGAAGATAGATTAATGTTCTGAATAGCCACAAAAGCAAGGAAATCAACCAGATTCATAAAATAAGGATGCATAATTCAAAATATGTTCTGGATGAATCAATGGGAGCACCATGTGCTATTTATACAACTATGACTAGTCTACTTTACAAAGGAAAAACGGACCTTGAGACATCCCACGACCTATTGGACTCCATCCGAAGCCATTACAATACATGGAAACAAAATAAACAGACGAAGAATTGGCCCTAGAATTTTTGAAAACAAAGAAAAAAGAAATTTCGGAGATTGAGAGCCTGGTGGGCCCCGATGAACTTTTGAGTATCTGAATGAGTTCTGCGGTTTATACGATAGAATAAGATCCATCAAGATTTAGGTGTTCCTGATTGGTTTCAGATTATTATGATGCTTGTTAATTTTTGCTGAATTCTTCTGGATTTCAAAAGATTGTACTTGATAGTGTTGAATTTTTGCTAGAGAAAAGCTCAAGTCTTTTTGAGCTAGATTTCTGACATATGCAGCAACGGCGCTGCACAGGTTCACCATTTTTTTCGGGGAAAATGCGAAAAACGGAAAAAAGTGTGTACCCATAAAATTTTAAGATGCCGACAGAATTTTAATTGAGATTCAATCAAGATCGTAACAGTTTATTGCTATTTCCCAATCATATATCGTCAAAGAAGCTGCTAAATCTTGAGAAAGCCGTGTAGCCACGGAATTTCAAGACCTCGACAAGGTTCATAACAGGATTCTATCAGTATCCTGAGCAGCTTACCAATGCAATTAAAACAAGAAATATGTTAATAGAGGGTCAAATCCTCAGAAAAACGTGTAGGCACGAAATAAACACGATTCTGTTATGATTAGAACAAAATCTTAGAGAAATTCTGAGTCATTTTGTATTGACTTTATGTCAAGCTCTTCTCAGAATTTCAATGGCTTCTAATTGGAAAATATTTTCTGATTGAACCTCGCAGAACTCCACTTCGATTCTATAAGGATGATATCCGATGTATTGTCAAAATTTTTGCAGGATTCTCTAAGCAGAAAAGAGAAATGAACGCACATCATTGATTTCTATATGTTCAGTTAAAAAACTGATTAGTTCACCGCAGTAGACTGTACCATGCTATTTAATTTAACTCAAACTTTCTGTATCTCGAATTCCCTCTGAACTATTAACTTGTATTTGAACTTTATGCAAACATAAGTTCTTTGAACAAAAATTCAATATAAACTTAATCTATTGATTACTTATCATAAAATTCTACTATGACTGATTGATTTCAATTTGAATAAAAAGGTATTTTTCTGATTAGCACGAATTAATAACATCCAGTACAAGTTTTATTGAAGTACTCGTCCTTTACTAAAAGCTTTTTTTAAGAAAAAGTTAGTGCAACAGTTAAACTAATATTAAAATCTCCATTTTAATGAGTTTGCAAGTTTTATATGAAAATAAAACTCAAAAAATAACTGAGCTCCATGCTGTAAATGTCATGCAATATTGAAGATGAATATTAAATATCTTTGACGAGGAATCTTCAAAAATTCTGTCAGAATTCTTCCATTCACTGACACATAGAAACAAAGGAATATTAGAATGAAATTCAGGTACCTTCTTGATTTTCTACATTCCTGTCAGAACCGGAACAAAACACATTGCAAATTCTTCATTGTCATTTTAGTATAGTTACTGTTAAAATTTTATTTAACAAGCACAATTTGAGTTTTTGAGGTTCAAAGATTCAAAAATATTCGAAGAATCTTAAATAGGAACTGTTAAGGATTTTGGTGGAAACATTTCATAATTTTATTCAAAATCCTGAACCAGATCAGTCATAGATCTTGTTACAATCCTCAAGATCAAGCTTTAGTAGACTCTAAATGAAAATGGTAAAGATCTTCGTCTAACCTTGACATGCTTTCAGAAAGATCCTGACCATTCTTGACCTTCTCTAGGAAGGTTCCGAAATGCTTGTCCTTGAAGAGGCCCTAAGACAACCCTGGAAATGTTCAGAAAAGATATTCGCAAGAAGAATGCTTAAGAAAATTAGATAGAATCGTGATTGAATCTTAGAAGAATCCACTACCTGAGGATTTTCATTGATCTTCTATTAATTTCTTGTAGGGTCTTTGCCTTATTTAACTGTAAGTCAGGAGAGGACCATGACGCAGAGATCCCAAACGAATTCTGTTAAAACTATAATAGAATCTAAGCGATATTCTTTCTGTGATCCCTATCAAGGTTTTGAGTAAGATCAAGAGTGAATCCTAGTATGGTCCATCATGTTAAAATAATAAAGAAATCTGAGTGGGAACTTGAAAAGATCCTGAGAAGAATATTTTTTTCACAATGAAATATCCTGCAAACCAGTATTATTAAAATTGGAAACGGAATCCTGAATAAAATATGACATGAATCTTCAGATTCAGGAGCCCAAAATGTTCTTTCACACTTTCTCAAGGAAAAACAGGATTCAGAATAAAGTAGAGGGTTGCTCTAAGTTCTGACATCCTTAGTTTGACGGAGAAAAGCGGATTCTAGAGTCCTAAGAGATTTTAGAATATATTTCTAGAAGTGTACCAAAAGCGGTCACAGATTACCGCCATTGGCTATAATTCAACACAATCCATTACAATTTATCAGAGATAACTAGAATGCAATAGAAATCATCATGTATTACAATAATATCAAACCGATCGCGGAAGCGTAAATCTTGGTGGATCCAAAAAATACGCAGAATCCATGATGATATGCCAAATTTACCAAGACATTATCATCTCGGTATCCTGGATCTTTTTTTCTCTTTACTTAGTTACAAATTCTGAAGTCACTATTCCCTTTTCTCACTTAATTTATTTGGACCTTAAAGAATTCTCATATCCATTAAGATCAACTTTTCCATCCTCGTTTCTGTACGCTTGAAATAATTTATTCTACAATTCATCAGGTTCCGTCAGGATCCACTAGGATCCATTAGGATCCATCAGGATCCACCAGGATCCAATAGGATCCACCAGGATCCACCAGGATCCACCAGGATCCAATAGGATCCACTAGGATCCACTAGGATCCACCAGGATCCACCAGGATCCACAGGATCCACCAGGATCCGAGGATCCAGGATCCGCTTTTTCCCCCTTGCGTGGATGTGAAGG